ATTGGCGTCGATTCCTCGTTCGGAAACGAGAAAACCGAGTAACTTTCCACCTGGAACTCCGAATGTGCACTTTGATGGATTGAGCTTGATATCGTATCCCTGAGGTTAGCAAAGGTTTCGGCAAGGTCAGTCAGTAGGTAGGAACCTTTCCGTGACTTAACCACAATATCATCCATGTATGCTTCTACGTTCCGACTGATCTGAGTGAGTAAACACTTCTGAATCATCCTCATGAACGTGGCTCCAGCATTCTTGAGGCCGAAGGGCATGGTGACATAACAGAAGCACCCAAATGGGGTGATGAAAGCCGTTTTGATCTCGTCGGGTCCATACAGACGGATCTGATGGTACCCTGAATAAGCATCTAGAAAAGACAAACACTCACACCCCGCGGTCGAGTCCACTACCTGGTCGATGCGGGGGAGAGGGAAATGATCTTTCGGGCAGGCCCGATTGATGTGTTTAAAGTCAATGCACATGCGAAGTGACTTGTCCTTTTTGGGGACCATGACTACATTGGCGAGCCACTCGGAGTGGTAAATCTCTTGGATGAACTCCGCTGCTAAGAGCCGAGCCACCTCCTCGCCAATAGCTTTCCTCTTCTGGACGGCGGACCGTCGAAGATGTTCTTTCACAGGCTTGAACTTTGGGTCGACTCGTAGGCGGTGCTCAGCCAGCCCCCTGGGAACTCCAGGCATGTCAGAAGGCTTCCATGCGAAGACGTCCCAGTTCTCACGGAGGAACTGGATGAGCGCTTCTTCCTATTTGGAGTCGAGCGTCGTCGAGATGTGAGTCGGAGCAGCGTCGGGGTCGGTCGGGTGAATGTGAGCTGGCTTAGTTTCACCGGACGACTGAAAAGCGGATTCTGAAGCAGGCTTCTTGGCTCGTAGCAATTCACTCGGATCAGCAGTCTTCTGGTACTCTTGTAGCTCAACAACTGCCATCTGAGCGTCAGCAATCTTCGATCCTTTCTGAAAACACTCTTCTGCTTTCTTCCGATTGCCGGTAACGGTGATCACACCTCTGGGGCCGGGCATCTTCAACTTGAGATACACGTAGCATGGTCGAGCCATGAAGCGTGCATAAGTTGGCCGGCCCAAAATAGCATGATAAGCACTTCGGAAGTCCACAACCTCAAATGTCAACTTTTCCTGCGGTAATTCTTTGAATCACCGAAAACCACGTCGAGAGCAATCTGGCCGAGTGACTCGGATTTCTTTCCAGGAATGACTCCATGGAAGCTCATGTTGCTGGCACTGAGCCTGGACATCGGAATGCCCATCCCTTTCAATGTTTCAGCATACAATATGTTCAGGCCACTGCCACCATCCATCAGGACTTTGGTCAGTCGAGTTCCTTCGACAACTGGGTCGACCACCAAAGCTTGCCTCCCAGGGGTGGCAATGTGCGTAGGGTGATCGGACCGGTCGAATGTGATGGCAGTCTGAGACCACTTCAGATAACTGGGTGTCACCGGAGCAACCATATTCACCTCACGGTTAATGACTTTCAGTCGACTTTTGCTTTCGACATCAGCAAAAATCATCAGGGTGGAATTGATTTAGGGGTATCCGTCGTCGCTATCTTCCTTGTCCTCGACTCTGTCCGACTCTTTTTCCTTATCTTTGGGCTGTTTGCCCTGAAACTGCTGGATCAGGAGCCGGCACTGTCGAGTGGTATGCTTTGAGTAAATGAAATTACCCTCTTCATCTTTCTTGGTGTGGATGTGACATGGCAGATCCAAAAAATCATTTCCATCTTGATCCTTGACTTTCTTGGGCTTCCATCGGCCTTTGGGTTTTCCCTTGAAATTTCCCTGGGTTGCGGCCAGGGCCTCCCCAGGGGCGGCTGGCTCGGCCTTCGGCTTCTGCTTCCGACTGGAATTGCCTCCGGTTTCCTGGGCGACTGCTTTCTGCTTGCCACTCCGGAGTCGATCTTCATCTTCTCCGTTAGCGTATTTGGTGGCAATATCCATCATCCGATTCAGGAACATTTCTCCGGTCCGACCGAACTTCAGGTTCAACTCTCTGTTCTTGACGCCTTCTTTAAAGGCACAAACTGCTTGGTGATCCGGTACGTTCTCAACTGTGTGATGCAAAGTGATCCACCTCTGGATGTAATCCCTCAGAGTTTCACTCGGCTTCTGCACGCAAGACCGCAATTCTGTAAGGCCTGCGGGTCGCTTGCATGTTCCCTCAAAGGTTGTGACAAACACTCGAGAGAGATCCTCCCAAGTGTAGATGCTGCTGGGTGCTAACTGATTCAGCCACGCTCTGGCCGAGCCCTCTAACAGGAGAGGCAAATGCTTCATAGCCACCTCATCATTGCCACCGCCAATCTTTACAGCCACTCGGTAATCTTCGAGCCAAGTGTCAGGCTTAGACTCATCGGTGAACTTGCTGACTCCAGTCGCCAACCGAAAGTTGGGAGGAATCACCGCGGCCCTGATGGCTCGACTGAAACACTCTGGCCCTGAAACATGTATTCTGCTGCTGGCGGGCGCATCTCTGTTCTGGCCTTTCCGATGAGCCCTGTTCCTGTCAACCAAGCCTTGAACGAGGACAGATCTCGCGTCAAAGCCTGGGTCCCTGGGGTCGACGGGAATCCTCTGCCCAACGCTATGAGGGCGCCTGTCATCTCGATGTCGAGGCGCATATGACCCACTCCTCGGGGGAGGGGTTGGCACTCGACGTCGATCATCACAATCGGATCGGTGATCATACTGCTCATTCCTTCTGTACTGATCATGCCGGTCGCCACGTCCCTCACGCCTCGGGGGCGACCGCGGGCTGTGAGCCGACTGGACTGTATCTGTTGCGATGGATCGACTGTGGATCCTATTCCGCGACTGAGAAACGGCGGAATTCTGGTTTCCCGCCGCCCGGAGCAACGCTCTGATCTGTAACAAGCCCCTGCCAGCCTCCGACTGGGAGGGCTGAATCGATTCTGCTATACGGGCCGCGGCGGTCAAATTATGAACTGGGGTTCGGTATACCTGCGTCCGCGGGAAGAGCTGGCGTCGACTAGACTCGGGAGCCCGCTGATGCGCTTGCTCGTCGAGTGCTCGCTGGAGATTCTCCAGTGGAGTGCGCTCGGCCAAATTAGCCAAGCACGCGTCCTCCAAGGCCCAGGCCTCGGGGGACTCTCCGACGATAGGAGTGCGGAGTGTGTTCGTGTTCCGGCGGCGAAGCTCCTCTCGCTGTAATGACGTGAGAGGTTCGGGGAGATACTCATCGTGGGGATGCGACGGGTCACCCCCACCCGCGCCTCCATCAGCGCGAGGGAAACCGGGAGGACTGTGCGTTCCATCGACCGCCAGGATCTCAGCCGCTGGGTCGCTGCTGTCGCACTCGGATGCGGTCTCCGCGGAGCCAGTCGACAGGTCGAACAGGCCGCAGAGGGATTCGTCGGGCTCGATTGCCGCGACTTGCGGGGTGGCCGACTGGCGAGCCACGGCATGCCTCACCCACCTCTGAAGTCTCGACCGACCGGAGCGCTTGCGCCAGTGGGAGACAGAGCGGGGAGACGATACGGGGGCCGACCGATACTGGGTCGACGGCTGCCGCAGGAGGACGCCACGAACGCATGCGCGGAAATGCGTCGCACCGCGGACGGGGAGCGCGTCGATGTCGAGTGGCGCCTCCTGAAGCCAGGCGGAGTCGTCGGCGATGAACGTGAGCACGCCGAGGCGGATCTCGCGGCCCTCCACCAAAACTCCGCCCGAAACCACGATCAAAGGGATCGGAAAAATCGCAACTTCTCCAATCAGGTGCTAAGATTCCGGCCCCACGGTGGGCGCCAACTGTCGTGGTTCTAACTCTAACAGTGATGTAGGGGGTATGTATGGAGAGGCTAGATCTCAGCTATTGGGAAGCTGTAAACACACCAAGATGTAGGAGTTCAGGCCCTTCGCGGAGGAAGTAACAGCCCTACGTCTCGGTGCCCGGAGGCGGTCGACTGGATTACTGGCGTGTGAATAACAGGGGTGCGAACCCTTCATACTGAGGAGGGGGGTGGCTTATATAGAGTTCGTCGGCCCCCTCCTGCCCTCAGTAATGCAGGGTTTAAGGTACATTTAAGGTTGGGCGTTACTGGTAACGCCCCTAATAAAGTGCTATAATGGCCATAAAGACTACTTGATAGCCGGCCGTTTGCCTGCAGAGTGACTTTAGGTCTCCTGGTGGTCGAGTGGTTGGCTTCATGGTCGAATGATAGCTTCATGGTCGAGTGTCTTGAACCCATCGAGTGGGATACCTTCAAGTCGATTGAAAGGTGACTTCTTCTAGGGATGTCCTAGGGTAGGGCTTTTTGGACGGGTCCGTGCCCCTACCCTAGGTATATGGCTTCATCAGTCACCGGTGGGCGAGTGAAAATGGTGGTTCCAGATTTGGGCTTGTGGTTTGAAGGCGGCTGATCTAGCACTTGGCCTTGGCGACGTGGACGGCTCACAATGGCTTTTTCATCGACTCACCCTCATGGGCTGTGGTTCTTCTTCGAATCGAGCGACATTCAGCGGTGATGATGGCTATTGCAGAATTAACTAATGATTTCAGTGTATTTTTTGTTTTTTTTTTGCAAATTTCTGCGCTCACTTGTTTGCACTTGACCCTTCTGATCAGTTCCGTGTGCGTGCGTTGTATTCATCATATTTGTGATCAATGAAATGTGGTTACTCTAAAAAAAGCAACAAACTGAATGCCCGCAAAAAAAAAACTGATTGGCGCGTTCACCAAAGCTGATCTCCCGGCAGATTTCCAACCAAACCCCGAGACACACATGCGGCAAAACCTCCCGAAACGCACCGGACCCAACCGCAAAATCAGGCAGATCACCAACCCATAGGCCCTGACCGGCGCGGTGCGGACACGCTCACGAACCGTCGTTCGTTCCGTCACATCCTATAAGTACGATCGAGCGCGCAGTGGAGAGCTAACATCACATCAGAGATCAGCCCACGCGCACACGCCAAGAAGAAACCGACCGATTGAGCTCCACTCGGCATGGTTTCCTCCAAGAACGCCCGCTGCACCGCGCTTCTTCTCTTGGCCGTGCTGCTGCTCTCGTGCGCCGCCATGGGCCGCGCGGCACGGGGCCTGGAGGAGACGGCGCCTGAGGATAATTACCCGGCCGAGGCGCCGGAGTCGTCGCCTGAGGACAATTACCCGGCCGAGGCGTCGGAGTCGTCGCCGTTCCCGGACTTCCGGTCGTTCCCGAAAGTCGAGCTGCCGCCCATGCCCGAGATGCCTACAATTCCCGGGTTCAGCTCTCCCGAGCCGGAGCCGGAGGCCGATGAGCCATGATCAAGGACGAGGGCCGTGACATGAACTCAGAGAGAATGTGAGCCGTCCATGCTCCTTGCGTACGTACGTTGTGGTGTGCTGTTGTGTTCGTATGATCGTATGACCTTCCACTGGACGGCAAGTGTGTATGTCTACATGTTCGATAAAAATCCTGTGATAGAGTCTGTGTTGTTCACTTTTGGATTCACACCCATTGAAATATGGAAAGTTTCACACGTGACATCGACTGACATGTAAACTAGAAGTACTCCCTCCGTTCCTAAATCCCCTGTTCAAGAATTCATCCGATTAACCAGTTAACTTGCCGATTAATCCCTACTTGTAGGGTCACCGAGTAGCCGATTAACCGATTAATCACCCGAGTAATTGATTAAATGGCTGATTAACTTGCCGATTAGCCTATTAATCCCCTACTCGCCAGCCAACCGAGCAGCTACCAGTTAACGATTTCCTCAACAATCCTAAATCTAATCTTTTTAAAGATTCTATAAAACAGACTTAAAATGAGTGCATCTACACTCTAAAACAAATCTATATTCAGCCGTATGTAGTTTTTATATTCAAATCTCCAAACCGACTTATATTTAGGAACGAAGAGAGTATTTCTCAGGGACTACACCATGCCAACTTTGATGTACGCTATATATATGTACAACCAAATAGTAAGAATCTCTACAGTTTCTAAAGAAATGTAAACGCAAGAACCAGAAGATCGAATTGCCAATAAGATTTGTCAGGTAAGTCTCGAAACCAATTGGCGACCCGGCCCTACCCCCGCGAAAGGTGATCTAGCGCCGCTGCTGCCGGCGCCACAAGGATCCTTCCTCCCACGCCCATCTCACCTCTCTTCCCCCCTCGCGTCCCTCTCGTGCCACTCCCGCGAGCGACCGAGAGGTGAACCCTAGCCATCGGGACTAGGTCATCTTTGCGCCACCCCCCCCCCCTCGCCATCGAAAGCTCGCGCCACGGGCAAAGTCTAGTCCGTATAGGTGCCGGTGGGACTTGCTCCTCTCTATGCTCGAGTCGTGTGGCACATGACGGCGGTTGGGTGATGGCGCGTCAGTGCCTAGACAGGTTTGAACGCATGTTCGGGTCACGGAGGGATGGTCTGGCCGAGACCCTGCTATGGCGGCGGCGGCTGCCTGAGCATCATCCCAAATCTGGTGCGGTTGGGGCCTTGGGGTACCTTGGTGTCAGCTCGGGGCAGCGGCCCGGTGATGGCGGCCATGGCCGGCAGTTCGACGGCGGCGGGACGTGCCTGTCTGGATCTGGTTTGGACCTATATGTGCCGTGGGGGGTGGCAGCGTTGTAGCAAGTGATCTGGTGCACAAGATGCTGGACTAAGGCTCGTCAAGCAGATCCATGTGAAAACCCTGCTCTCGGCTAGTTGCCAAGGCCGGCGATGGTGGCGTTCTTCTGCGCCATCCTTTTTTTGAAGGCATCGCCGTGGAGAAGCTCCAAACCTCTATCCGCTACCTCCGGGGAAACCTAGATCAGTCGATCGGATAACGGTGGTGCTCTTGTGTCGTTCTTCCCTTGAGGGCATTATTCTTGGAGGTGTTCTTTAGCTCGAGGGACCAGTGGACGGTTTCAGCGGTGGAGTGGTATTTCATGTGACGCATCTACGACGTGGAGTCTCAAAGGCATGGCACAGCAAGGTCTCGACAACGAATGTGTGATGATGGACACACGTAAGGAGGTTGCGTTGTCGGGCGCAGTTGTGGCATCGACTATAGGCCTTGCGAGGTCGATGCTTAGGTACATATTTTGAAGATGGATCCATGGAAAACGACGGTGGCAACCTCTGCATCGTGTGCATGTGGTGACCACTGAGAGTGCGCCGGACCCGTGGGTCACCCAGACCCGAAAGTGCGGCTTGGTGTTGGGGCCTTCAGTTATGTTGGGCTTTGGTGTGAGGTCTAGGTATGCGGCTCAAACAATCTGCACCCCTTGATCAAGTTGATAGGAGTAGCGAGAGATATTGCCGAGATAATGGGCTTAGACTTATTGATGTACTTTGTAAGGTCTTGATGAATAATTAATAAAATTGTTGCATGCGTCGCCCTGGTGGTGCAGAAGAGGCCGAGGGTCATCCTCTTTTGAAATAAAATAAACCAGAAGATCAGATATTGAGCATGATGCCTAAAAACCTCGCATATTTACAAGCATAACTGAAAGCTGAATCGAGTCAGGAGATAATGTTCGTACTTCTGTACAACCTGATTAAGTAAAGTTTATCATGCGTAGATTTCCATCGTGCGATTGAGATAAACATAACCAAGATGAAGCGATATATTGTACTAGCGGGTTAAAAAAATAGAGCTCGGTATTTGTGCCTTGGTGGTGACTGGGGAAAGGCCCCTTGGATGCAGGATGCATAACCAAGCAACTCGCTACCGCTTGCACTTGTTGCAGTAATGGGTTAGCGCGGACACCTTGGATGCACATCTGTAGCAGAAGCTGCTTCCACACCTAAAACAAATCAAACAAGGGAGCCGCAAATCATTTCACATTTGTCAAGTACAGCAGTGAGCGATCTGTCAGGAGTTGTAATCTGATCCGTACCTGCATTTGATGTAGTTGCATCCTTCCGATTTCTCCACGTACATCCTGCACTTGGGGCACCGCTGCCACCTCTGCCGTCCGGCGAGCCTCCTCAGCAGGAGGTCCTCCCGGCCGCGCTCGTCCTGCCCGAGCTCCTGAAACTCCTTGCACCCGACCCCGGCGTGCCACGGAGCGACGCACCGGGCGCAGAACAGCCTGTGGCAATGCGGGCACTCGGCCTCCACGATCGCTGCCGCACCGGCCTCACCATCGGCGAGAAGAGGCGCCGAGCATTCCTTGTACGGGCAGTACACCCTTTTGGCGCCGAGCAAAGACTCGCACAGTAGGAAGCCCCACTTGTCGAGCAGGTCCGAGGAGATGATGCCCATGCAGCTCTCCGGCTCGACGGCGCCCTCCTTGCAGCCGGGGTCGGGGCATTTGACGCGGGCGACGTTCTCGCCCAGCTTAGCCGCGACGTACTGGGCGACGCAGCCCGAGCAGAAGGCGTGGCCGCACGAGCCCACGCTGAACTTGAGGGTGCCAGGCACCGTCTCCATGCAGATGGCGCAGTCGAAGAGCTCGCGGTGGCCGTCGCCGTCGCCGTCGACCACCGACGCGTCAACACCGGTCAACATGGGGTCGATGGGCGATACGATGAACGTCTCTGGCCTGGGTACACGAGGTGATATTGAAAATTGAGTTCGTTGCGCCGATCAAATACATCTCCGCTCCGTGCCGCAGTACGATTACGAATGAATCAAGCGCAGGGGAGTAAATAAAACTGACCACACAACGAACACGACCATCGTCATCGCCACGGCGAGGCCCCAGCAGCACCATGCCTTTGCTCGCCCGCTCAGACCCTTCTCATCTGCAGGAGAAGGGCACACGGCGAGCGGGGACACGTCGAGGACCGTCTTGCCCGGGTTGGCCTCTTCGTCGGCGCCGCCCCTTCGGTAGCACATGGCCGCCGTGCCGGCCGCAGCGGTGACGTTGTTGCCGGCCAAGGCCCCGCTCCGGCTCTCGGGCACGAGGCCTTTGAACGGCTGCTCCTCGGCGGAGAAGACGGCGAGGAGAAGAAGGGCCGTGAAGGGGACGGCCCCGGCGGACGGCATTGCGCTTCTCCCACTCCGTCGTCGCGTGTGCTAGTCGTGTGCTTGGTTCGGTTGGATCTGGGTTCAGGTTGAGCTATATCCGCGTATCGCGCGCGTGCACGTATCCGCGTGAAACGGAACCCCTCGAAACTCGTCGCCGGTGGAGAATTATGATCCATCGGGTCCTGTGCCATGCCAAGGAGGCAAAAGATTGGTCGTCTCCTTGTGGAATGAACGTGATGAATCGTGTCGTCGTTGCGTGGCTTTCACTATTAATTGATCCCATGCACGTTCCGCTGCTACTAGTTTTTCTCAAGTACAACAATGACGTATAATATTTTTATAGAAGGAAAGATAGTTAATTACAAGAACCCGTCTTCGCATCGAACAAATGAGAATCGATACTCCAACACCTAACTCCGATGCATCCTAAGCTAACTTCTCACAAATCTTTGTAGACCTCCTACACCTATCCCCGCAGCTCGCCATTCTGCGATCTCAGCCAGCACCAAGATGGGTATGAGAGACACCGGTCCATCCTGTTGAACACCCTGACATTTCTTTGCTTCCAAAGGATCCATGCCACCGCGTTGATTAAAGTGTCAAAGCCTCTCCTATCAGCTCGAGTGAACTTCTTTCTTTCCCTAAGCCACCGAGCTGAGAATGCGTCCACTTGGGCCGTTCCTTGCACATTTAGTCTAAGGAGGTCGAACACACTCTGTGCCACACTTCCCTGCTGCTACTAGTTATGTTACTAGGACAATTAGTGATTAGTACGTTAGTTCATGACTTTCTACTGTCCATATCAATGTGATTGTGTAGATAGATGTTTTTTAAATCCTGCTACTTGGATGCCGATATTACGCGAACATTCTGTCTGGGAAAGCCTCAGATCGAACAATTCATTTGATACTGGGAGAGGGCATAGATGGAAGGAATTCGTTCGAGAGCGCCCCTGTGGGATCTGGCTTGCCTGCTCCCTTCCCATGCTCCCATCCGTGCTCCCACTTCACCCTACGGTTGTCTTTTTTCCTCTTTTCTTTGTAATCTAATCATCTCCCCCTCCCCCCTGATTTTAAGTGGGTGGAGCCGGACCTTATTTTGTTCCAATCAAATCAAGACACGTACGCGGGAGCACGGATGGGCACACGCCCGGGGAGCAGGCAAGTCTCGTCCGCCCCGGTGCGAACACCCTCGTATAGTCCACTACATGCCTTTTTGCTATAACTAAATGAAAGAAAAAATAAAGCTCAGTTTAACCCAGTTTTTACTGTGACTACAAAACCCCAATTATGGTTGTGAGTTTGTGACTAATAAAGTACAGATTTCGCCATGCTACAAAAATTGCAAATGTCTGAAGAA